GAACACATACGTAATTACTGTTCGAGTTCAGCTGAGAATTGGTTCAAATTTCACGGACATTTGGTAACCGTTCTCCTTTTCTAATTCTAGACGTAAAAAACAATATCACGTCATACTCGATCTGGCAAAGCAATCTGACATGGTATCCATCGAACAGGGATAGTTTTGATGCCTCCCCTTGGCAACACAAAGGGTCCCATGTTGCAGTAGAATTTCATTCAACTTCAAAGGGGAATTCGTCGTGTATATAGAAATGACGCGGGAACTGAAAAACTAGAAAGCACTGGACAGCTGTTTCGACCTGGTTGGGTCTCATCAGTAGTACGTGAATCCATCGACCCAACTGGGGATCGCACCCGGGACCTCACAGACAGGCTATGAATTTTTCCAACCAAGTTTTAATCCCAGAGACTAGCGCTGAGATGAGCGAGGTGCGAGGCCCGCAACAGGCTCGTAAAGATGGGTTGTGCAATATATCGTGTAAATGAAAAATAAAAAAACGGTCTGATCAGCCGCCCGGTAAACCAGTTTCGTTGTTGTTCAACTGAGTACTATTTCTGTCCTCTTGGGGTCTTAGTGTTGGTCGCACTTCGAGCTCCCGAGGCCTCATGTTACTGGTTCACCGAAGCGACCAGTAGAACCAGGAGACACACACAATGACGTGTGATAAAAAAAGCCAAATAATTTAATTTATGTGGTCTACTACCAGACACCTGGAACGATGTATCTCCGAAAACCAATGGGGGGGATTTGTCGTACCGAGAAGTAAGAAACGAAATTTCTCTGGTTTTGGGAAGAGAACAGAAGAAATCCGTTCGGAAGTTGAACGGTGGTGGGCATGTCTTCGTTAGTGCGCAATGATCCCCCTATTCATAGCTTACCACCACCAACCCGATTTGATAGTATTATCGCTGTCGTTTGCCACTGCCCATATGATTGACTTTTTTCGCTAAACAGCATGTCTTCAAGCAAATGAAGCTTAGTTCTAACAGCAGGCTGTAATGTGCAATAAAATGTGACTTGTACATGAAAGCCATTTCGACAATATACCTAGGATTATACAATACGACGGGAACAATGAATCGGTGAACTGTTGAACTCGTTAAACAACTGTGCTCACACACACACACATTAGCGTTTCTGTGTGGTTGTGGATTAGCACCGCGAACAGACGAGACGAGCCATGAAGAAATGCGATTAGGTAGAGTAGGTGTCTCTCGTCTTCCGGGTTGGGGTCCAAAAGACTCCGAAATCGCATGGTTGGAGACANGGAGACACTGAAGGTCATGGCTACGAACCGACAGCAATGGCGATCATGCTGTCACTTCTTATCAGTCCAGAATGCTTGAACTAGTATGTATACATAGTTGGGCTGTGTACTCCGTATGTTGATCATAGAGGTTCGCTTTCTTTTCCCGTCCCTAAAAATAGGCCCAATCCCTGTCCTCCTTACACATTCTCACTTATCTTGTATGGATTATGAGTTTGGCAGCGATCAGTGAAGTTCGCTTCACTGTATTACGCTGTACAATGATGATGATGACCGCGAACAGTGCAGTGTGTGCATCATTTCAATCTGTTCGTAACCTTAGTCCACCAGAATTCTCTCGTCGCTAGCTGACACTGCTGCTGCTTTCCGCACTTCAATCTCCTGTCTCCTCTTTCATCCAAATAGGCAACAACAAAAAACAGCAAATAAAACCGCCACACGAAAGTGCACAGTTGGGGGTATGCAAACGGAAACTTAAGTGAGACATTCTATAATTTGGTCGCCACTTTAACTTCCTAAGTCACTGGGATATGGGGCACAACGGAGCATGAAGCACGGTGTATCTAAATATTTAACACCGGCTTGGAGACAAGCATGGTGCCAACGCCACAAAAATAACTATAACAGGAGACAGGTGGATTGGAATACAAAACAAAGAGGAACGAAGGTGAAACAGTTAAAATGAAAAATGGTGGATAATTGGAATAGTAAAATTTTTTGTGTTTCACTGTACACATTTTGATATTTTCTGTGTTGTTTGTTGTTTTTAAGGGGCATGGGATTTCGACAGGCAGACCGTACAGCAGTCGCGCCACTGACTTCTATTCTGAGCCATAGCTCTCAGCGTCTCTGGCCAACGACAATCCTCATCCCCTGGGCCCCAACCTGTAAGGCGAGCTGCACCAACCGAAGCCAAAGCTGAAGCTAGCTTATTCATAACTCTAAGCCATATCATGGTCTGACCACCGCGGCGCTTCTTTCAGCTTTGCCCAACCAGCACGGGCAAATAGATCACGGAAAGGTTGTCGATGGGCAGGCATACGCAAAACCTCACCAAGCCATCGGAGGCGATGTAGGGCGATTACTTCCGTTAGAGAGCGACTATCCACACCTCAAGTGAGACAATAGTTGCTTGGTCTATTTACGTGTCGCTAGTACAGTAACAGCTACTAGTCTTAATCTAGGCAAATTGCCTGCTTCCACACCCAATACACGATGACGAACCTCGGTATTGCTCACCCGATGTTCCCACCAGATATGAGCAATGCTTCGGAGACATCGGTGGTCGAAAACATTAAATCGATTAGCATCCTCAACTAGGAGGGGCCAGGTCTCGCAACCGTGAAGCAGAACGCTACGAACCGCGATGATGTACAATCTCCCCTTAATGTGTATCTACCATGAATATGAAATGAGTTGAGTGGTGTACTGACCTGATGACACTGTTGCTTTTGCTGTTAAAATCGATACGGGAAAACACAGAATAGTCTGAGTTATGCTAATCAGACAATTTACGCTGAGAAACAAAAAAACTGGGATGATTTTTGCGACACATTTACAATCAATCGTAAGATCGTTCGGTATCTGGATCCTTGGATGTGTATGGTAATCAGATAGTTCAGCAATTCGACATCCGGATCCATTCTAGTCCGGGTACGAATTGTGATGAATACATCAGTAGTGAATGACGATGCGATTGGATGGCTCAGATTACGGCACGTACCAGTTTGCAATGTCAGGTGTTTGAAGCCAACCAACTCCATACTTCTCTTTCTGTATTGAATATCTGTATGATAAATATATAGTACTGCGGTTTAACTCTATGGTTACGATATCCTGGCATTCGATCATGAGAAAAAGTAATCTGGGACTGGGAGTGTCGAGCTCCTCGAGGTTTGGAATAAGCCCATATGAATAATTCTTTAAAAAACATACTTAGACGAAAAATTACGTTTAGGAACTCAAATTCAGCCGGGTACAACTTACAGGTGATATAGTATAAACGGAACATGTCACAAACAGCACCAGCGGTCGACGGATAGGACTTCAAAATGGAACAATTCAATGAGGTGTACAGCAAAATGGAGTAATCAAAAAGACGTTGAAAAAAGTAGATAGCATAACGTGATTTCATCAACCAAAATGGGAAGTACGTCCGTAATGCGATTAATATGGGTGTAAGCCGCATGCAGGTCGAGATTCTATCGCTGAGCTCAAAGTTTGGTTCTCCAACAAGATATACCATGATAATGTAGATATAAAAGTATGAGGTGAAAACCTGTTCAGTTGTTAGGTACAAGGTCAATAAAGAAAACATCTTGATCATGATGTAACGAAATACATTGAGGTGAACTTAAATGATCGCCGTCAAACTCTTAATGTAAGGTGGGCAGGGATTAGACCTATTTTGAGGGAGGGAGGCAAAGAAAGTGAATCTCTATGGTCAACACACAGAGTGCACCATCTAACTGAGCGTGCATACTGCTTCAAGCATTCTCGTCTGTTAAGAAATGACAACAAGAACGCTAATGCTGTCTGTTCGCTGCCATATCCTTCAGTGCCTTCAACCGAACAGTTGCAGTCTTATGGGCTCCAAACTGGAAGACGGGAGACACCTACTCTACCCAATGGCTTTATGAATTTCTTCATGCATCGTCTCCACGTAATTTGCTAACCTCAAGGTGATCTCCTCTAATCTGGAGCCGCAACTGCGAATAAGGCGCAGCACTGAAATTGAACAGAAATGGTGAAATAGAGTACCCTTGAAGAACGCCGCTGTTGGCGACAAACGATTTACTTAATTCCTTAAAGATCCTTACTCGGCCAAAGATGAGTACAACGACTTCATTAAGTTAACGTACATCTGGGGCATTCCTTTCCGAAGAAGGGAACCCATAAGAGCTTTACGGTGAACTGAGTCAAAGGTTCCTTTTAGGTCAAGAATAAAGAAAAGATGTGGTATGGAGTCACCAAGATAAAGAAACTGGGATTGTGATCGTGGACAATTTTATAGTCATAAACATGGAAACGGATAACATGTACATCAGACTGCACAACAAATCGAGCCGAAATTGTATTTCGAACAATGTAAAGCTGTGATAATACAGGTTAGGTGTTGGAATGGGTGAAATATGATATCTGCTCATCATCTCAAGTACCAGGACACAGATTTTCGGGTATTATGACCACGAGAACATGCACTTACCCCGATCCCCACCCCATACATATTCTACTTAATAATACAACAGTGTATGGTTGGAAAAGCAACTATCGTGCGTACATACAAAACGATTTCACAATGATGGTAAACTAACCTGTGTTGGGATAGAGGAAACCCGTGGTGGATAGTTGTGTGTATGTGTACAAAGAAGGATCCACAAAATTATCAAGTGGGATCAGTTTCGATCGATCGATTGCGGTCATACCGTGATCCGCAGTCAAAATAATATCCACCTGATCGGTCAAACCTTTTGCTGCCAGACCGTCCATTAGTCGACCCAATATTCCATCCAACTCTACCACACGCTCAGCTACCTCCACGCTTTCTGGTCCATAGGCATGTCCAGTCTCGTCCGGTTCGTCAAAATAGGCCAGGATTAAGTCTAGACGGAATCGAGGATTGTCCAACCACCAGAGTAAATCGGATACGCGTTTTGTGTAGGCATAGCGAGTTTCCGCCTGATCAATTAGAGTAAACTGAGAGACTTGCATGAATGGCAAGTCACCATGAACCGGACCATCAGTCAGAGGCCAAAGTAAAGAACCAGTTAGACGACCTTTGCGTTGCAGTGATACCCAAATGGGCTCCGGCCAGTCGACCAACCAAGGTGCTTCATTCAAACTAGTCTGATTGTTCATTTCGAACACCACATCAGGCCATTTGGAATCACGCAAACTATTAGCCACTACGCCATGTATCTCTGGATAGAGTCCGGTGATCAGAGTCTGATGATTTGGCATTGTGATAGTCGGATATGCATTGATCGAACGCATCGCACGCACTCCACCGGCTTGGAATCGAGCGAAATTGGGCAGCGCATCCGGACCGTAACGAGCTCGAACCAGTTCCAGATAGTCATGCCGAAATCCATCCATACTAATGAGTAGAATTGGACAATAGGAAAAAGGTTCGGAGCAAGGATTGGCCGGATACGGTCGTACACGGTGATGATACCAGAGGCGAGGGACTAGTGTGCCAATCAGGATGATCCCGATGAGAACTAGAATGACACACAACGCAACATTGACCAGGCCGAGTAGACGAATACGACGACGTTTGATCGTCAACTCGGATACATCCATGCGTTGATACGGAGTATTTGAATTTTCTTCTGACATGGCTGAAAGGCAAAATCTGGAACAGAATATATTACTGAGGGGGGAGTGCTTAGTTTGAAATATCATGTAAATTCGATGCATGCGATTCAAGCACGATTCCGATCAAACGCAACGGGCGTTTCGAACAACATTTTATCAGTGCAACACACTGCATAAGTCCAGTTCAGAACTCACTTTCTTCGTCCAAGATGGGACACACTTCCAACGAGTTATGGTGATGCTTTGGCACACGACGAGCTTATCACGATGAGGTGAGAGGATATTTACTCTGACTGACACAATGATTCGATATAATTTGCGCCGTGGTTCGTTAAAAAAGTAACGTTTCAAAGTGAGCACTCTAGCTTTATAAGATATAACTGAACCGTGGTGTGCAACAATGCATCCATGAATGAATTTCAGCTGCACCTCCGAAAGCCTCAGTATGGTCAAGGTAGGTGTCTTTGGTTGTGGCTGGTCACCATTCCTTTGCACCTCGCGAAATACTCCTATAAGAATAAGCGTCTCCAATAACCTCAAAGAAAGAAGTCCTACTCATTGCCTTAACGTGTTTCTCGAGCAAGGTGAGGGGATGAAAAATCGAATTCCGGGGCTATAAGCGGGTCGGTGAACCACTAGCACTTCACCTAAGGGAGTTGGCTAAAACACTGATTCCAAACCAACCAAGAGAAGGCATACGAACCACAGACACTGGTGGTTGCGGCAGTGGCCACCGGCTTCATCGGATATCGAGGAGTATTATGTACCTTTGATTTCTGACCCTGTCCTTAACGGGCGTATGATCCGATGAATTGAACACTAGCCCCCAATGGATTGCGGTTTTCAAACACCGCCCCGCTATCTTGTGAGTCAGGCTTTGGCTAGTCGAAGGTTCCCGTTGTGAATTCCCCGAGAGAATTCACCTGTCTTGGGTCAGGCAAACTGGCAGTATCACGCTCACAAACAAACCATGGGTTTTAAAGAAAAATATTATTTTACTGTGATTTGTTTGGCACTTAGTGAGGACTCATATATATTGGAGTAAATACAAATATGTGGAACAATGCGATGTCATCGTTATATTCTAAGTCAAGAACTCTGATTTCTTAGGAGTTTTAATTCTCCGTTTGCTAAACCCGATAAAGCATTCTGTAAAACATCCCTTTGGGTAGTGTTGAAGAGGAATGGGGATATAAGGCAGGCCATTCAAACTCCACTGGTGAAGCGCAAGGGGTAACGAAAGGTGACCATAGACCCTAGCTCGACCGGAAGTATGACGATGAAACTTCTTGAGGATCAACGTGTATTTCTCAGGTGCTCCAATTCCCGACAAACAATTAAACAGTGCGGTCCTATCGACGGAATCGAAGGCCGCGCGGAAGTCTAAGAATACAATGATCGTTGGTATTTGATAAGCATAACGGTGCTTTAGCAGCTGTCAGAAGGTGAAGATTTGATCGATGCATCCACGACCGGCGCGAAACCCAGCCAGCTCTTCGCGGATCTGCTCTTTGCGCGTTTTGTATAATCGGCGGGGAATCATGGACACCAACAGTTTTGACGCTATCGGGATAAGGCTTATACCTCCATGGTTGGCGCAGTCACTGCGCAAGACCCTTTTAAAGATGGGGCCGAAAATCTATTGCCCCTCCCCCACGAGGGGACCTGTTCAGTGTACCAAAATTTAGAGAACAGAGTCACCAATTACCTAACACGCCATATTCCACCATCTTTAATTAGAGCTGGATAAGAACCATCCAAACATGACGCTTTGTGGCGTCCCAAGGCTTGTGTCTCCCTAGGGATCTCCACCTCAATGTGGGCCTGTTGAGACAGTGAGGCGTGTGCCGGAATAGCTGTATGAGAGGCTGACGTAGGCATATAGCTAAACTGTGCCTTGAACTGCTCCATCCTGCGTACAAGACGTTGCTGTTGAATATGAATGGGCTTCGCAGATCGTTTTGCTCACACCCAAAGCTTTCCTACCGATGATCCAGAGGAGACTAAACAGCTTATGGGAATTTTCCATGGCGGCAGTGCGCTCCATCTCTGATGCGCGTTGAGCCCATCAGATTTCGCAGACTGTGTGGGCATATTGATTTATTTATATTCACACACGTCTGATGCCAGACTGTGCCAAACAAATCGTGGAAGAATAATCTTTACAAAAGAAAAGCGGGCAAGCGTCGTATTTCTAACTTTGGTCATCCTTTTTCCGAGAAAAGGACACCGCAAACACTCCGTCTTTGGGCTTTTCCTCGAATTTACAGCATTCTTGTGTTTAAACACAATCAATTAACAGGTTTCCAGTTTGTACAACCATTAACCGCGCATATTCGTGCGCCGGTTTTGGTTGCTGTCTTTTGGCTGCCCATTGGGATGAAGAATAGGAGAAGAAAGGAAAGTTGAAAGTGGAGTCGAAAAGAAAATGGAGAAGTTCAGTTGTCTAAGGTTGCAAAGAAATTGAGAAGATGCACGAACGCCACTGTTTGCGACACCCAGCCATATCACTCAGAGTCTCTAACCATCGGTACGATTATCCCGGGGTCCTCAACCAGGGAGCCTAACAGGACCTGTGTGCCCCAGTCTCCTGGTTAGGGTTTTCATACCCTCGTGCCAGGTCGTAGCTTGACCACCCTTGGCTTTTTCTACTCGGTGTCTGCTTCGGCGAACATCGCTCGCCGTGGTGACATGCGTAACACATGCCCCAACCAACGTAATCTATGGAGGTCGACCACTTGCTCCAGTGGGCTCTATTACTTTCCCCAGTTAGAGTGAGGCTGGGTGTTGAATCAACCCAGTCTTGCAGTCAAATTTTATACTTTGAAGGTGCAAGACGCATACCGAATATGGCTACACTGGCATTCAACTTACCCAGAAATGCTTGCAACTTACCTGGATCTTCAATTAGTAGCACAATGTCGTCTGCGTACTCTAGATCAGACAGCCTGCCATCTGGGAGTAAATCGATACCATCATCCTCGCACGATGGCTGTTTCCATAATCAGATCTGTAACAAAGTTAAATAGAAAAGAAGAGAGGGCAACCCTGACGAACACCGCTTTCCGTGGTGAACTCGGGCGAAAAAATGCCGTAAGCCTGGACTCGACTTCGGCTATCAGTAGAAAGCGATCGTAATATTGAAATTAACTTCTCGGGCACATCTTTCAAAAGAAAGGCAGCGCCAGAGTTTCGAGCGGTCGACTCAGTCGAAAGCCGCTTTCAGATCTAGGAAGACAGAGATGGTGGGTCTACGAAAAGAATGCCGGTGCTCCAGAATTTGGCGCAGAGTGAAGATGTGATCGACACAACCTCGACCTCGAGTCTAAAACCAGCCTGGTTCTCACGCGTGCACCGTTCACGTGCGGCAGACAATCGGCGGATATGATGCCAGCAAGAAGTTTAGAAGTAATGTTAATTAAAACAGGCAGTAGCTTTGACGCTCCCTTTACCACCTTACCGGCGTCAACTGTGAGAGACTCTTATTTGCTCACGTCTTTGAACCGTTTTCACAGTTATTTCTTAATATGTTGAGGCACATTTCATAGTTTTTTTTTTATTACACACATTTGTGTGATGAACAGAAGACGGGGCGAACCCCACAGTCACGAAGGCTTATTGCTCCGCAATAAAAACCGGTAATCTAAGCTCCGGGATTTGGCGAGAAGAACCACGGTAAGCTCCGACAGGTTAGATGTAGTATTGAACCGGAAGACAGCAAAGCTGCCTACCACCATATGATGGTACCTGTGGAACATATATATATATGTATCCGCCATCACTACGAGACTACACCTTGACGTGGTGAGATGGCTTGTGCACCTCTGTGACCCAACGAGCTACACAGGATGGCTTTATAAAGCCAGGAAATCTTATCATGCCTGGAAGGCCAATGGGTAGAGGTCAGACGAAGTTCGGTCTCCTGGTCCTCCAGATTGGGGGTTCGCTTGGAATTTGGCGTTTCAGTCGATAAAAAGCGGTGGAGGATTAATTGATCCAAGTATATGGGCCTCTACTTCGCCTTACCCGCTGCCTTGCGGTTAGGTTCTTGTTAGAACTAAAGGCTTTGGACGAGAACCCTAATCGTTCTCCTGCTTAGTGGCTGGACACCCTAGCAGTACCCATCCACCAAACCCCAATGCATACACAAAATAAAAATAA